CCATTCGTTGTTTTGCAGAGCGGCGCGGGCCCTCGCACCCCCTTCGAGGAGGAGGAGGACGAGGGGGAAGGAGGAGGAGGAGGAATAGGAGGAGGAGGAGGAGGAGGAGGAGGAAGAGGAGGAGGAAGAGGGGGAAAGAGGAGGAGCAGGAGGAGGAGAAGGAAGAGGAGGAGGAGGGAGGAGGAGGAGGAGGGAGGAGGAGGGGGAGGGAGGATCGACGAGGACGGTGACGAGGAAAGAGTTAGAAGATCGACCACGGACCAGTTTCAACTGTAACCACAGGACACTTGGGGTGCTCGCCCCTCGCCAATCGCTTCCAAATGTCCTGGGTGTGACGGGTGGGTCGATCGCTGCAGCGCTTGGACAGTCCTCGAATCCGTCCGTGGTCCAAATCGCACCTACACCTTAGACATACAGTGAGCAGCGCGCTACCACTGCATTCTAGCGAGATATAGCTGTGACTCAGAGCTTTGAGGGTAGATCCTGCTGGACCGCGCACCTCCGCACACTCTCCTGCAGCAGGCTCCGACACTCCTCGCTTCACCCTGCTACATGTCAAGCGTAAGAAAGATCCTCGCAACTTCTGCCACCCGTGACCTGGGGGTGAGACGGGACCGACGGACCAGACTCCACACGAGAAGAGCGGATGAGTTCAACCTCTGACAGGTCAAGCTTAGGCTCGAGTGGGAGAAGCGAGGAGGCAAGGTTGCAGACAAGCTTGGCAATTATGATTCGGCGCTGGAGCTCAGCTTCGTCGTCCTCCGACCAGGAAGGGTGCATCGCAGCTCCAGCCCGAGCGGCAGCGTCGGCTGCAGAGTTTCCGAGTCGCCGCCACCGATTTTGCTTGGGTGGGTCCAAATGGGTTTTCGCCTTGACAGTTTCCCTCACCCATTTGGCCCCCTGCGCAAAATATTGCATCATGCCTGCATATGGTCTAACATAGCCAAGCTGCTGCTCGGGAGGCTGCTGGCTCTGCTTGACTACGTTAAGACAATCAGAGCAATTAGCGCTGTCACCTACTATGTAGCTGTATATCAGCCATCGCAAGACCCTGAAACTCACCAGCCTGGGGGGAGGCCACCACAGGGCAAGGCGACGGGTCCGAACAGCCCACCTTTCACCCCTTTTCCATCCAACATCTGAACAACTCCCCATCCAGCTCGTTGAAGCTTTGAATTACTATGACAGCTACAGCTCCCATCTATGACAACATTTCACTGAAACTCTACATCTTCTCTGGGCTCATCGGTCCAGCCTAGTTCCGTGGTCCCAGGCGACGCAGGACGGGGGTGAGCATCCCCTGGGTGTGGAAACACTCCTCGGATAAACAGAACCTTGTCGATAGGATCGGCTTGCGCTGCAAGGGCCATGCTGATGCCTGCCGGCGCAACGGTCTCCAACCGTTGTGCATGGCATTGTGTACATTCCCACAGTCTCTGGAACTCCGAGTCGCCGCAGACACCGCATAAGGCACACTTAGTTGACTAAGCTTGGTACCCACACTCAAGGGCGCGACTCGGAGTCCAGATCGATCGCCCCGCCGACCAGCGAGTTCACGCAGCGTCTGCCGAGTGGGGTCGAACGCTTCGATCGGATCTTCGCTCGAACGACATCGAAGCACAATCTCGGACAATCGAGATTCACGTTGTTGCTGGCGAGGCGCTCTAAGGGCCTAAAACATCACCACGCAGCATGCCTTTTCACCAAGAGACGGCGAGACATAGGTAAGCGGTAAGCACTACCTCCTCTCCGAAGTCGCTCAGCAACGCAACAAAACCCTTCATACCTCAGGATATTCTTTTCAGCTGTAACTTTAAAGCTGAAAGGAGGCCCTTGACCTTCTTCCAATCCTTGACTTCCTCATCCTGGTACCCCACCTCCCAAGCCATCCTGAGCTCCTGAAAGGAAAGCCCGTACGGGTAAGAGTGGGTATGAGCGGCCCACATTTCTTTGGAATACCTGGGGATTGTGGCGACTTCGCATCTCCAGGACGGGACGTCCTCAAAAATCATGAGCGAGGTGGGAGATCTGCCAGAAGTTTGCGGACGTGTGATCTTATTTGCGGACTGCCTAATCAAAGGAATTTCCCTGTCGGACACCCCGTGCACAGACACGCCATACTCAATAGAAGGCAGCGTGCCCGACACGAGGATACGTTTGGATAATCTCCCCAAAGACTTCCCTATCGCTCTGATTATTCTGGATTGCTTCTGGAACTTCTGGAGACGGATGGCGAACTTGGTGGCCTTTCTCCTAGCTTTCCTCGGACGCCCAACCGTGTCGTCGATCCCCAGGTTAGTGGCACTCTCCACCACAGGCCCAGCCAAATCCCCAAGGAAATGTCGCAGCTTCTTGGCAACCACTCTGTTGGAACAAACAACGTTGGCGTTCTCGCGCAAAATCCCGCAGCCAAGCTCCGAGACACACACTTGATACAGGGCAGCCGATGCAGAATTGATAGTTTTGATCACATCCCTAGCCTTCCCCGTATAGCTTAATC